CCATATATCACCATTAATTTTCTTTCCAGTCTTGTTGGACTACTGCATGACACAAAATTAGTCAGTTATGTAATGAACGAAATGGTGTTTGGTACAAGCTAGCAAGTTACGAACAAGAGAAAGGGATGTAGAGACACAATCAGCTATAAGCGTTTTTCTTGTTTAAGTTTTGGTGGCTTCAGACCACCAGACATTTTCCTCTTTTTCCCTTTCTGTTGAAAGGTCCTCCAACTGTCCACTCGGTCATTCCTTTTTGCCTATTATTGAACATCTTATATGTATTATCAGTTGGGTATAACAGGATTGTACATACATCCCAATCTTGTTTCCATTCTTTTTGTCTCTTGACTTTATCTTGCTCTGCACCTTCTTGCTCCTTTTGCCTCTTTCTGGGAGGTGCGGAGTGTTCATGCAAATTCACAAGACCTATACATACATACATAAACACTACCGTTCAGATTGATCTCTCTCTTCCAATTTCTTCTTTTTCATTTCAACATCTGCAAATAACTTTGTCAGAGTGTTGCGAAGAGCCTGCCTATACTGCAAAGAAAGAAGGGGATCTACAGGAGCACCTCAATTTTAATTTACACACTTTACACCTGTTCAAGACTTAACTACCTTCTAAAACACCCACACCAGTCTCAAAAAAACAATGACCTGGCCTTTAGTTAGGCAGGATTCACAAAATTGTCAACAGTGTTTTTTTATTACAGATGATAAAAAAGTAAGTGGTTCGAGTCTTTGAATAACATGTTGTCCTTGGGTGTAGTTGATATGCACTTGCCTTGCATTGACACCCCATGATTAATTTCTCACACTTTTTTCACTCCATCTGCATCTACGAATCGTCACTTTTTTAGTTCTTAATGCCGGTATCCTGAGACAACAATTTCTGGAAAATTCTCTCAACAATGCGGACATGGCAAAAAGAAGGCACAAACCCCAAATTTCGGTAATTACACTGCCTTTGTGTAAACTGCAGAGACTTGTAACCAAAGGAAGTTACCTAATGTAATCCCTACACTATTCAATATGGGTAACACTGCTCTACCTTCTCTGGATCATCTTCCTCTATAGAATCTTTACCCTGTCTCTGAACCACTTTTCTTTTTTCCTCCATCTATGAAATAACAATAATACTGCTATGATGCAAACACTAAACCTGCCTCCTGCCAGGAACTATTTATGTACATATTGATGTAGCCGTACCTCCATGTCTAATTTTGCTTTTGCATCTTCAACCATTTCTAAGACATATGCTCGCTGATCCTCATCATCTAACATCTTGTAGGCTTTATGCACAGCTGTAGTAAAAACGAATGCATGCACACCATTGACTTATAGTACAAAGTACAGTACAGTACTTGAGTTTCCTCAGGTAATGTTACACAAAGGTTTGAGCTTTACACATAAGAATTGTGTCAGTATTATACCCATACATGTAAGGTGTAGGAGTGATGCTCATTATTGATACGGAGTAAATACAAATCATGCAAGTGTGTGGACAGTATATATTAACTTAGTTAGGCGAAGATGCACAGCAGCGTAATTGCTATAATGTACATTGTTGTGATCTATTGCTTCAGTCACAGCATCCTAACATATTATACAAACTGTAAGCAGCTCACAAAGTTTGAGAGTTTTGCATTCTCGCGATATACGTACGTGTCGGTCACGCTTAAGAATGTCAATTAGTCACGCTTAGGAATGTCAACTTCCGTCATTCGTAGGAAGTCTAGCTTCCGCCGTGCGCACAGATTCGTAGGAAGTCTGGCTTCGTGCGCAGTCAGTAGAGCGCGCGCACGAGCGGCCTCAATCGAACTGTTTACGCATTGGCTGGCAGGCGCGAGGCAAAATATGTGCGTGCGCATTCCTAGCATATGTAGTGCTACTACAGTCTTGTGTACAACCAATTCTCTTCAGTCATCACACAAGGTCATAAAACTTCAATAATAGTTGCTTTTGGGCAGCTCTCTGACTGGATTGATTACGGTCAAGGATCAGAAGCGTTTTCATGTTGTGCCACCATTAATGAAAAGCACTAAAGCGCAAACCCTTGGTGAACTGTGGTGCCACTAATTGATGGGCTCGGCTATATTAGTATGCGTGGTCTCCCGCTTGTAGCTCGCGGAGAGTCTGACACGGTTAGCGACAGTAGTAGATAGCATGCGGGAGTTGATACATACCCTTCGTTGCAACTTCTTGTGCCTTCAAGATATGCAGAGCAAGAGGATGTAAGGCTGTGCTAATTTGCATATTGGCTTGTTCACTAGCTTTTCACGCCATAACCCTCGAATGCAGTACTTTTATGAAAATCGCCAAATTTAAAATCAAGCCAACATATTGGTATCACTGTTTTGTTGTCTCGTTGTGCGTGGTGGCAGAAAACGTGGTAACAGACAGACAGACGCACAAACGGACCAAGTACCGCAACCCTCGCCAGCTCAAGGGTGTAGAGTCAGTCCTATATTGTAATGTCTGAGCTTTTTTGGTCTTTGTTAATGTGGTGTTTTTGTCTTATTTAATTTAGGTATGAAGCCCTTTAGGAGTCCTCACCTCTCTCTCTCTCTTTCTCTCTCTCGTTTTCTACTTTCTTCATGTGAGCATGAGCTGTTTAGTTTCATGCGCGCCGAGGGTTAAGCATGAGCAAGCCTAAGAAAGGATACATAATCATGAACACTGCAGTTGTACCTCCAAAAATGAAAATGTGTTGTTGCTCTAAAACCAAACTCAATGAAAGGCACTGAAGTGAAAAACCCTTGGTGATCTAAAAATGCGTGCACGTGAATACACATTGCAACACGTATAGACACATGTGCGGGTTCCTAATGGATGGGCTGGGCCTAGCGATCGATTTACGCATGGTTTTTGGCTAGCTTGCCGAGAGTCTTTCAAAGCTATACATGTAGATAGCGTTCTAATCGATACTCGTCCTCCATCGTGACTCCGATGCCTCCACAGTGCACAACGTGGGCGGATCTAGTCAAGGTAAGCCAGTGGTAATTAGCATATTGGCTTGTTCACTTGGTTTTCACGCCATAACTTTTAAATGCAGTAGTTATACGTTTTAAAATCAAGCCAGTGTAGAACAGAACCTGTTGGCAAAGCTTCTTGGTGGTCTTGTGGCGCCCAGTGGCAGAAAACTTGGCAACAGACATACAGACCAAGTTAGTACTGTAACCCTCGCTGCGCATGCACGCCAACGGTTAATAAATTGCATGGGTTCAGTTCTAGCCACACACTATCACTAAGTACGGTAGTAGTTAGTATATGAAAAGCACTAAAGTGCAAACCGTCGGCAAACTTGCTAATAGTATGCGTTTACTTCTGGTCTCCAGCTAGCTCGCGGAGAGTCTGACACAGGGTAGCTACAGTGGTATATAGCATGCGGAAGTCGATACACGCCATACATTGTGACTTCTTGTGCCTCCAAGGTACATACAAAGAGCAAGCGGACCGGTCGAGGTAAGCCTGTGCTTATTTGCAATTGGCTTGTTCAGTTACACACTTTGTTTTCTCCGAACAGAAGTTGTTCAAGAAGGTTCGAGGAGGTTCCATGCAGTCGAACCACTCCGAACTAGAGTAGCTAATCAAGTTAGCTAACCAATATGCTAAATAGTATTCGCCTTGTTGCTGTTCATACATTGTATACCAAGGCTGGCCTTGTGTGCTGTTTTTTGCATTCTGCAGGTGGGTATCTAGTGGGGTCTGTTGCAGATATCAAGAAAAGTGTCACTGTGCACAAGATGGACAGTGCGTTAGAGTGGGCCTCGACGCATGATCACTGGCAGAGTCTAATATCTTCTTCAAATGAATCAGTTGAATACAATGTGGAGGCAGACTCAACGCTTATTAAGAATAAGAAGGAAAGAGAGTGCATGAGGCACAAGAGGGAGCTGCTCGAGGAACTGGAGTCTCTATTGAATAGGTCGAACCTCATAAGTGAAAGTGACAAGAAAAAAAGATTTACCGAAGCCTACACTGTATCGAAGACAAGACTCCTTATTCAGGAATTGGAAACAAATTGTGGCAGCAGAAAAAGGATCTACAACCGACCAGTTGGATACAGGAAGATATAGAAGGCGTCCAACTCTTTCATTACGTTCTCTACTCACTACAGACCATGCTTCCTACACATACTGAAGGAAGCAGCCATGACGGTGCAGGAAACTGAGGGAGAACCCAAGAACCCAAGTCAAAGAGTCGTCCAAAAGTTAGCTGCGTATGTCTGGCGACAGCTAAACAAAGAAAGCTACAGCGTGGAGTCCATCATGTCTCTTGCAAGAGGTTGTGTCAACCAACACACCGAACAGCACTCATAGACACAGGCGTGATTTTGATGTTGGCTATTGAATATACAAAGTTTCGTTCACATAGCTCTTACCATTTGTGAGTTATACTGACACGTGGTCCATTATAATGTATTAGCCTGGGGCTAAAAAGGCCTTCATTTTAGTTTCTTTTTGCATCGTAGAGAGGCCTTTCATCGAAGAAGCATCGGATACAGCAAGCTTGAAGTCGTCACGGCGAGTTCTCTGTGCGGAAGTTTGCCACGCCCCCATCAAAGACGTCATTTTTTGGTGGGCGTCTCCGTGGAAACACGCCCTTGGAAAAACGGGATTTAGAATTCACGTTTTACGCCATCTGATAGGTAAATTTGAATCTGCCGGCGTCTAAGTATGACTAGTCTCTTCGGGTGACGGATATCTCATTCTTGCAAAATTTCATTACTATATGTTATTATAAAAAATCCTGCGGATAAAAAAAAGAGTGCATATAGGGATCGTATAAAAAGAAAGGGAGACAAGATAGGGATGGTGTTTGTGGAAGCACAGAGATGCTAGCGAGGAGTTAGGACTCCCACAGGTCATTACAAGTTTTCAATCTTCATAGGGTGGGAGTGGGAGTGATGAGAGAGTCTGTAGAATATTGCTATAGGTAATGAAGTACTTACTAATTACGTTTGATAGATTTGTCATGCTACATTTCCATGGAGTGCGCATTTTGGATGTATATACACATGGAAACATGGAAAAATTTGTGTAACGCAAGAAAACAAAATTCAAGTATGCAAGGTTGGCTGATATATTCACGAGGAAGTAGTAAAGCACCAATACGGTGATATAGGGCTGTTGTAATAACCTGTGTGAGTCCTAACTCCTCGCTAACATCTCTGTGCTTCCACAAACACCATCCCTATCTTGTCTCCCTTTCTTTTTATACGATCCCTATATGCACTCTTTTTTTAATCCGCAGGATTTTATTTACTTGTCTCCACTCATTTTTATATACTACTACGTATTATCTCTGTGGAAGGGGGCAAGCCCCTATCAAAATTAATAATGGAGAAAAAATGCCTGTTGTCGTCATGGAAATATTAATATGCATACCATGTTTCATCTCCATGTGTGCTGCAGTTAGCAAGTTTGAGGAGTGAAGAAGTAATTTTAAAGAAAAGTGCCTGAGGCTATTTGTTGTTGTGGTCGTCATGGAAACGATGTTACACACATGCGTACCAAGTTTCATCTCCATGCTTGGTACCATTAGAGTGTTTGAGGAGTGAAGAAGTAATTTTAAAGAAAAGTGCCTAAGGCTATTTGTTGTTGTGGTCGTCATGGAAACGATGTAATACACATGCACACCAAGTTTCATCTCCATGCGTGGTACCGCTAGCGAGTTTGAGGAGTGAAGAAGTAATTTAAAGAAAATTGCCTGAGGCGTTTTGTTGTTATTTACAAACATGTATTGTTGTGATTTTGATGTTGGCTATTGAATACGTTGTGTATACTGATTTGTTTGTAAACAATGTGGTTTATCACTAAGTATCGTGGATTGGCAGGCATAGACGTATGGGGCATAACTAAAAAACCAAAACTGATAAAGACATATCCCCGGTTTTTGAGTTACGCGAGTCGAAGAAGAAGAAGAAGAAGAAGATGAACAAAACTCCCTATCATAGCCCCATACATCTATAATGCTAGGTACCATGTCAATCCCTACACTAAGTACTACCGTACTTAGTGATTCAACACCCATAACTCAAAAAAGAAACAACACATAGTAATGAACCTTCTCTATGAACATATTCGCAAGGGGAACGAGGTGTGAATGGTATTGTACTCTAGTTCGGAGTGGTTCGACTGCATCGAACCTCCTTGAACCTTCTTGAATGAAAAGCACTGAAGTGCAAACCCTCGGCGCACTGTGACGTGCGCACGTAAGTAAACGCATGCGCCGTACCACTAAGCTGGGTTTAGTTTCAGCTGTTACTCGTGGTCTCTTGCCAGCTCGCGCAGAGTCTGACGCGGGCTAACTACACAACTAGATAACATGCGAGAGGCGATACACGCCCTGCGTTGCATCTTCTGGTGCCTCCGAGGTACGCAGAGCACGCGGATCGATCATGCCGTAGTAAGCCGTTGTGTATTTGCATATTGGCTTTTTCCAGCTCTAGCTTAGCAACAGAGCGTTTTCAGAGAAAACCGCACATATTTTCTAACCTTCATTGCCCGTTCAGTAGGTGGTATCCTTTGTGAGACGAACGAACACTCAAGAAGTGAGATGACAAGTAACAGACAGACAGACAGACAGACAGACAGACACACACACACACACACAGACCCAAGTACCGTAACCGTCGCTGCGCATGCGCGCCGAGGGTTAACAACTTAAGTGCGGAGAAAACAAAGTGTGTAGGGGTCATTCACATGAGTTCTTATTTTGTAGAAATGTACATATCCCTAGCAATGTGTGCAACGTCATACTGATTTGTTTGTAAACAATGTGGTTTATCACTAAGTATCGTGGATTGGCAGGCATAAACGTATGGGGCATAACTAAAAAACCAAAACTGATAAAGACATGTAATTTTGTAGCAATGTACATATCGATAACCACATGTGCAATGTCATACTTTATTGTAAACAATGTTGTTTATTGTAAACAACAACAAATAGCACCAGGCAAAACATTATGATGGGGACACTTGTGTTAGTGTAACTCATAAATGCTAAGAGTTATGCGAATGAAAATTTTTACACACCATGTATTCAGTCACCACTGTCGAAAACACAACGATACATGTTTGTAAACAACAACAAATAGCCTCAGGCAATTTTTTAAGTTACTTCTTCACTCCTCTAACTTGCCAATGGTACCACACATTGACAAAAAACTATGGTACGCAAGCATGTAACATAATTTCTATGACGACCACATGTTTACCTACATGTTGGTACATTTTCTTTAAATTACTTCTCCACTCCTCAAACTTGCTAACGGTAGCACGCATGGAGCATATTAGATCGCTTCCATGACGACAATATGTCGTTTGCGTAACAATTTAGCCTCAGGCACTTTTCTATAAAATTACTTCTTCACTCCTCAAACTTGTTAACGGTAACACGCATGGAGACTAAACTTGGTACGCATGCATATTACATCGTTTCCATGACGACTAATTATTGTTTAACAACAACAAATAGCCTCAGGCACTTTTCTTTAGAACTACTTCTTTACTACTCAAACTTGCTAACGCATGGAGATGAAACTTGGTATGCATGCGTATTATTACATCATTTCCATGACGACAACTGCCATTGTTCTCTATTATTAATTTTTTATAGGGGCTTGCCCCCTTTCACAGAGATATACGTAGTAGTAATGAGTGGACACATATTAAAAATCCTTCGATTTTAAAAAGAGGCATATAGGGATGGTATAAAAAGAAAGGGAGACAAGATAGGGATGGGATACATGAAGCATGGTTAACGAACATATTTGAGCACGCTGAAACCCCTGACCCAATCACACAATCCCTATATTGTTGCCTAGGTGAAGTATTAAACATTCACCATCTTACAATATTCAGCTTGAAAATAGTCATGCTACTGGGTAACCAAGAGTCCAAACAGGCAGCACACCAGGCAACAATAATATAGGGATTGTGTGATGGGGTTGGGGTGTCAGCGTGCTCATTAACCATGCTTCATGTATCCCATCCCTATCATGTCTCCATATATTTTTATACCATCCCTATATGCCTCTTTTTCAAATTCACAGGAGTTTTAATTACTTGTTTACTTGTATAAGAACCAGTTACCAATCACAGTACACAAGCTAAGGGTTATCATGCCATGCCTTAGCTTGGTGCAACAATAAAGTGTTAAGTAATAGTGAGGCAAAACTTAAAACATGGACATGAGATTTTCTCCCTTCGTTGTGCCTGCTACCTTCTTCGCATTATACTCTTGCCAGTTATACCAGCATACCTTCAAATGCCAGCTGAGCTCTGTCCTTGTCTGACTCATTTTTATCAGGATGAACCAATATTGAAAGCTTCAAATGAGAAACACATTAAATAAGTAAATAAGCACACCAACATGGTAGATAGGTCACCTTTCTATAAGCCTTTCTGACTTGTTCAGGAGGGGTATCAGGATCGATAAGTAGTACCTGAAAGCAGTATAATATGAACCCCTTTTTTTCACAACTGAGGAGCTGTGTCTACAAATGTGTTGATAGCAAATGGTCCCACTTTATATCTTACTTCAAAAGGATTGAGGTTGAAGTACATTGAGCCTTGTCTGAGGAGTCTGTCAATCTGCTGTGAAGGGGTTAATACTGAATCTCTCTTCTGTATTGCCTTAACCTGAAAATCGCATCACTGGTTAAAAAGTAGAATGATTTGCTCTGTTGCCCTAGCACTATGGAGGTGCAAGGCAGTTGCAAAATCGCAATTGCCAATCTTCTGCAAGTGAATTTAAAAACCCTTCTCGATTACAGTGCACATTTATACAGCATTGAGTGATCAAAACAAATGACATTACTCTGGCAACACATAACTATTGGGAATAGTCTTTTCAACGCCACCCTTTGTATGAAACCAACTTCAAAGTGATCACAAGCAGGTTTTCCACTACTAACTAATCAGGGCCATCAGCATCGACGCGACTGTCTACGCGCTTCAGGCAACGTCTAGCCCGGGGCATTTATAGTATATACCTCCACAATACTTACTTCAGCTAGGAAGGCGTCGAGAGCAGCAGGGGGTTTACCGGTGCTACTCGTTGCTCCACTGGCCGCCATGTTCCTTCCTCCTGCACACACCTGCGCGCGCATAGGCGTGCCAATCGAACATCGTGTGTGTGGGCGGAGTAGCTAGCTGGTAGCTTGTTCGCTAGCGGCGTTTTCGGCTGGCGTAGGACTGTGATGATGATTCGCTGATCACCCTCGTAAAAGTGAGACCTCACTTGACTGGTGGATACTTTAAGTGCATGTTGGAGGTGAGAAAGAATTAGGGGCCCGCGGAGATCGCTACAGATCGCGGTCGCTAGCTATAGTGCAGGGAATAGAGTGTGCGTCAAGATGCATCATTCTGTGTGAGGAGGTATTGCTGTGTAACAGCCACTCCATCCTGGTGTTTCATGCTGAATTTTACTAAGTCTTACATAGCTCTGATGCGCAGTGTGGTAATGCATGAATGTTGGTTCGATTCAGTTCTGAATGTCTATAGCTATACATAATAAGTAGGTGCATGAGTTTTCTGCAGTGGCAATCATCTGTTTGTTGCAGTCATTGTATGTGCATCCAGTGGAACAATACCACTTCCTTCTCTAGATGGTGACTAGGGTGGTTCTGTTTGCTACTCTGACTAGACTGTGGGTTGACCTTTGTCTGGCCCACTACTCTCTGTATATATCGGAGGAGAATTTGCAATCCTACTATTCAAATTCAGCGTATGCGGATCTCATACAAGGTGAGAATTGCAGACAAGTTACTGTCAGTAATTTACATTACCCTAGCAACATCAAGTCTTGCAAGATTTTTTAACTGCATGGTGAAGAATGCATTGTAAACCGGTTAATAGGTTTCATCGGTATAATATATTCATCCATGAATACCTGTCATCACAGGACAGTTTGTGCCTATAGTGGATGATGGAGAGGTACTAATAGGTGATGGTGGGGCTCTGCTACTCATTGAAGTAACAAGTGGATCTGGAGTATCAGGGTCTGGGTACAGTCTGTCACCTGGACATGACGTTACGGGCAGGTCACTGGATTACTCCTCCGTGAAAAGCCTCCCTCCCTTTCCTGCTCATGTGGACACAGTCAACTTCACCTGGATTTCTAAAACTATGGTCAGTAATCAAGAAAATAGAAGGGGCCTACCAGTGTTGTGTTCTTTTGTTGTTAGAGGCACATGGGAAAACAGTAAAACAGGGGGAAATTTGTAGAGTTCTGTTTTTATAGCGATTTCCCTACACGAATAACACGGGCAATATTGGGCTGTAGTATTGTGTAATTCCCAGGAGCACACTGCATGTAGTGCAAATAATTGGTGAACTAAGCGAACCGCCTACACAGTTGTCTCAATGTGTGAGGTTTTTCTGTGTATCCGACCGACCAACCAACCAATGTCCCTGCCCCATGACAAATACACATGCGCAAAATATACTTCGCTCACCAAAAATGCATTTGTTACTTTTGGATGGCTGTCACATTGGGGTGGTCTCTTATGACTACTCCCGGCAGCTATGCATGACACATGATATCTATGTCACTAGCCTCTCCATTTAATGTGGATATTCAGAATCATTTCTGCTGTGGGGCCAGTAGTAAAAATCCTAGTGGAACACTTATGCACTATGGCGAGCAGTAGCGAACTAATTTATTATCCAAATATTGCTGTGTTAAGGGTTATAATAATAGGAAATGATGTGATACAAATGGGGTTAGTATCTAGTCCTGCATGCTATCTGCTTAGCCGATTTCAGATTCTCAGCAAGGGTAAATAAATCGTCCAGCAAGAGTAAATCGAAAACAGCGGTACGCACGCACCCATGCATGTGTGTGGGTGTTGTAATGCGTTTTCACTTATTCCTATATAATTTTCCATGTTTACCCTGCATTGTTTCAGTGTTCAATTCTGTACGTGCTCTCAGAATTTTTGCAAATAGAAGACACACTTTAACACAAGAGAAAGAGCTGTTTGAGTGTGGGTATACATTGACACTACGACACGACATGACATTACTATGCAATGTGAAATTTCTACTGCATGTGCATAACTTTGGACAAATGCTGGAGGTATATACCATGCCAGTTCCACCTTTGCATTGTAAACATGGGGCAGACTGATCTTGGATAGCCTGGCTCTTGGGTCCCTGTGGCACTCTGTGTTGTTAGGTGTGTTTTATAAACTATCTGGCACAGGCACAAGGCGAGTTAAAATAGATTTTAGACCAACTATATGTGGGTTTAGAAACGATAGTGCAATTATATATGTAGCAAGTTGCTTCTGCCTGACCAGACTGTATGAAAGCATAATAAATTATTGTGTAAATGTATTTTGTTTGAAGATCAATTACACACTGCGTGCAACACAAGAAGGTGGCCAGCTCTGGAATCCATCTTTCGGAGTTCCAAGTACTGGACTTATTCCACGCAACTTATCAAGTAAGTTACAAGTGTTTACTGAGGAATCCAATAACAATAGTGTGCGCAACAGATTAGGTAGAAGTGGGTGTAGACTAGTGATGCCCCTGCTGTTATATGGAATGCGAAAACTTAGCTATAATAATATATATATATATATATATATATAGCCCGTGTAAGAGCGAAAACTCAGCACTCTAGACTTAAGTGTGGGCAATAGATTTGCAGTACATACACTTTCATGCAATTTTATGCCTCTTGGTGCCCTTTACTAATGAAAATACTTAGCATTCCTTGGTGGGTATATAGAGAGAACACATTGCCTGTATACAGTGTAGGTAGACCTGCTGTCTAGTCTCTGGACAATTTCACACAGGCATGCATGCAGAGATTTAAGTAGGGTGACTTAATGGCTCCACAATGGTATGACAGACAGGTACTGAGAGATCGCTTGGTGGTGGCTCTGCCAGCTAGCTCGAGATAGATGGAAGTTAGAGCTACGTATGTACCTAACAATAAAGATCCAAGAACTGTGTATACAAGTATAATATTCCTCATGCGCATAATTTGAGCACATGTCAACTTAGTTCAAGTATTTGGAGTGTGAAGAGTCTAGCACAGATATGTATGAGTATGTATATGTATGTGTGTTAACCCATTTTCAGGTCTTCAGATGAGAGCTCAATGTCGTCCTCTTGCCATGGAAACTGGTAGAGTGCACATGAATCTTACCACCTTGATAAACCAGTCAGAGGCCCTCGTTTATTTTTTTCTTGACAAATCTTGCAATGGTAGGGATAACTTGGCAATTAACTCATAAAGTTGTATAACAAAGATGTACCCTATATTTTTTCCTCTACAGACACTGTGATGCCCTCCCTATCTACTGTGATTCAAGCCTCAGTTACACAGGAATTAAACTCTGTAACTAGTCACAGCCTGCCCTTTTCACTCTCAGTGCTGTTAATGACTACATCTCGAGTTCCTGTCTTTTCTCCAACACCGACTGTTCTTCCTCATCCACTGGCCTCCGCCCCTATTCTGGCTACCCCTGGACCAGTGTTTTTTTCTTCACCCATTGCTTCTTCTGTCACTGCCTCCTTCCTTAGCCACACTCCTGTTCTTGTCACAGACATGCCATCTCCATCATCATTACCTACTGGTGAACCCTCCCTCTCTTCTTTGAGTGTAGTCTCCACTGCTTTAGTGTCTCCCTATCTATCATCTTCCTCAATACACCGTACTCTACCACCCTTAGTGGAACTGTCCTCGTCTCTGATTTCCACATCTATAGCGTCATTGTTTCTGTCAACTTTTAATATCTCACCATCTACTACTTCATCATTTTCTCTGTCCACTTTTAATCCCTCACCATTAACACCATTGTCTTCTTCAACACTTCAAATCTCTCACCCTTTATACCCATCTACTACAGTATCTCTTTCAACATCATCTCCAACCATCATGTCAACACCTTTGTTCCAGTCAAGCACATTATCTGTAGAAGGTTCCATGTCAACATCGGCAATTATTGGAAATAGTTCTGTTCGGTCAAAAGAAATATCTACTGCAAAAGTTTCATCTTCTATCATTCTTACTATCCCTGGTAAGTACTACATGTAATTGAAAATGTACATAGTGCTAATCCGAGTAGTTGTAGCTAATGATGTCAGTTTGGCAGTTGTTCAAGAATTGTCTTAACTCATTACTGGAAAAAGCATCATTACTACCTAAAAACAATAGTCACGTACACGTGCAACTATCTGCTTGCTTATGGAATACTTTTGGTAATTCCGTATTTAACTAAAGTGCTGTTCCAAATTTGTCGGACTGTGATTAATGTTCATCTGTCTGGAACGGTAATTGAGTAATTGAGTATGAGTGTGATTTATCAAATAACACGACAACTTCACCCATGCCATTAGACTAGCTTGTTTAGGTACGAGCCATCTTATGTGTATATACCTTCTCTCATACTTTTACCTGTACTGTAGGTAGGTACATTACATAATATAGAAATGTCTGTTACCTGAAGCAAACATGTGGGCTAAAATTGATATGTGTCTCTATGATATGAAGAAGGACCTTACGTATTTTGCTATGTCATTGTATTGTTCAGGTCCGGGGGATTCTAGTTCTCAGCTGCTGATTTTGGTGTGTGCTCCAATTGGGGGAATACTTGTGGCGTGCATATTGCTCTCTCTCTGCCTAGTTGTGTGTTTCAAATTTAAAACTTCCAAGAAAGGAGCAATGTAAGTGTTTGCATAAAGTATAGAGTATAAAGTATACGATAGCAGCAAAGTGGTATCTAATGAGGCTTGTAAAGGGTTGTAACTCTGTATGCTTAACACATTGTTTTATCTGCTGTGTTTAGTCAAGTGTTTAGTGATGATCCACTGGACATGGTACACACTGTGCCGTATAGCCCATCCGCTGTGAATGAATTCACTAAGAAGGCACCACCTCCTCTCTCATTATGGATGTGTAAGCTCATCTGTGTCAGCACTTACACGCTTACATTACAACATTCCTTTGTCATAAAAAAATGTTGAACGAGAATAATAATTTTGACCTAATTCTGTGTCATACCCAGTTCTGTAATAGAGACATGCATGTTTTTGTTATTTCATGTTGTGAACCTGAATAGGATGTGTTGTTTTGTTTCATTTTCAGCTCTACCATGGGGATATGTCGGTAGCTTACCACGATCTCTCCAAACCTTAGTCACTCAGTCGGGAGTTGACCGCAAGAGTCTGTCCATCATTGACACCATTTCCAGAGGTGGGTACCAGCATGTCTGGCCTATGTATGTACTCCTCAATTTGCTGCCATGCTTCCATAACTTGCCAAAATAAATCTTGCATCATCTAAATATGACCGTGATTAACTATCACAGATATGGCAGTGCATTTTGGGGTTGTTCCATTCATCTTTATTGTACATCTTTGTCTGACACAGGTGAATGTGGAAGTGTGGTGTCAGGTCAGCTGAACAACATTAGGACTGATGTGATGTCAGGCAGCCAGTCAGTGATAATCAAGATGCTTACAGGTATGAATAAGTGTACATTCTTATTTTTTCTATGTGTAATAATATGCAGTATGCACTGTATAAATGCACTTGTACATATCTTGTGAAGGATATGTAGTCATGCCCTTGCATATCAGTCATTCTTCTGCCGACCATGTTGTAGGATTTCCCGAGGGGAGTAGACGAGATGAAGTGGTGCGATTCCTGGAGGCATCCACTCTGATGAAGGGTATCAAGCACCAGAACATTCTCTCGGTGCTTCGTGTCAGTGTGGAAGATAACCATGTGCCCCTTGTTGTTTATCCTATGGTGGAACATTGTGATATGTACAGAGTCATCAAACTGGCTTCTGACCCAGAGCACAGTGTGCTACCAGTGAGTTTACTTCATTAACCACAGACACAAAATTCATGAGAAGTGTAAGCGACTACGTTCAAATTCACCTTGTAGCCAAAGGTTTTGTAGTCACAACTGAATAACTGGAATATCTGTGGTGTCAGGTAGTTCCTCTTGGCACATGTAAATATGATGCTCCCACTGCATGCAACTAGCATTGTTTCTTACTAACATCTTTATGTGGGATACATAAGAACAGTTCGTCACTGCATACAGAAGTACGCACCACGGTTTGAACACGTTGCTGGTTTCACTGCTGGACCTGTTTCCTGCCCTAGCGTCCTCTCCCCTAAACCAAAGGGATCCAAACACTTCATGTTAAGTTTCTACTCAACTGACAGCCTTGTCAGAATTTTGCAAGGCATAGCTAACCAACCCTTCCTTAGTAAATGGACTGGTTGGCATGGTCAATAGGATACCCCCACAGTACAAATTGCTTTCTGTTTCCCAGTGTACCCACTGCGGTCCTATTACATTGGTGGTAGTCTCAACCTGGCCCGCCTTAGAGTAGGAAGGTGTAAAATGGTATGAGAAACTCTTATTGAGAGAGAGCCTGAATATGTATTTAACCCATCGCCCAGCAGTGCTTTTTGCACATGCGCAGGGTGGTACACATTGAAGCATTACAATTGTTCTTTTGGGTCGAGGGTTTGCACCTAGTGTTCTTTCATCTTGTTTTCCATAGCCTCTAACAGTAGTGTTGACCCTGGAGCTGGCAATACAAATAGCTACTGCAATGAACTACCTCGGTGAACACTCCATTGTCCATCCTGACCTTGCTCTCCGAAATTGCGTGTAAGTACAGTTGTGTGAGAACTTCATTGGCTGGTATTGGTAGGATAGTGATTTTCAGGACGAGACTGTTACATGAATAGACTCATATCCAGGCTCTTCGAGAGAAAGAGATCCATGCTCACTGTTCGTGCATGGGCACAATTTGTCTGACTATTCCTACAGCACATGCCACCAAAGGGTGTGTACGGTGTACGGTGACGTACAATACTCCTGAAACAAGGCGATTTACAACGACAACTAGACACTCTTATGGTCTCAATTAGCTAGGCATACTTATTGATTGCAGACAACATGCATGTTTTTCAGGCTTGTATGACAATCTTCCCAGTAAAGCTCGTTGCTCTCAAGTGATTACAGTCACCGTATGGTGAGCCATAGACAGTTATTCCTTTCTTCTTACACACCCGCTAGCAAGAGTACGTAGGTACATTGTCATGCATGAGACACGGATGTACGGAAAATATCTTGATCCGCACTTTCTCCTCTGCTCCAAAGAGCCTGGGTACAAGGTACAAGGCTAGTAAATTGATATGATAACCTAAAGGTTGTTCTATCCAACTATTTAATATGTCACTCAAAGTGTGTGCTAGATGCACATGCCTAAAGTTCCATGAATGTTTGAGTAGTCAATATTATCGTAACCCACCATGCAGTGAGGAATTCATTACTTGATCGCCTAAATTTTACTTAGCAAGCAAAGGTATGTTTATGTATGTATGTATGGTATGACTTTCACAGAGATCCCTCATTAAATTCAGCTAATGTTTTTCTTTTAATGTTTCCTACTATAATATTATGAAGGAGACAATATGTACCCTGTCTTTTTACTTCTTGTAGGTTACCTCAAACTCAAGTTTGCATAATTATGAACTTTATGCTTTCATTCATGAATGGGTTACTGTATAACAATCCTGTAGATTGGACAGTGGTTGCGTAGTGAAAATATCAGATGGGGCACTGGCTCAGCAGTTCCACCCTGAGTGCTACTACACCTTGTTTGGTGCAACTAGACCAGTGAGATGGGCAGCAGTAGAGACACTGCAAGAGGGACTCTGCACTGTTCGCAGCAATGTCGTAAGTGAAAGTCTCACTCTAAAAGTTCACACAAATCGTTTATTTTTAAGTTACTCATTCACAAGTGCATACTCTGATAATCTTGCCCACTTGTGGGTCAGAGTACATATGTAGATAAAATAAACCTAATTTCCACTGCCTACCACATGTAGCTCTCCCATACAGCACAGTGGTGTGCACTTGGCCGGAAACCAAGAGATGGTGGGTTAGAATCCCACTAGTAGAGCTCATGTTTCTACCGTTCTTCTTTCATTTATAAACGGTTCTTTAAGTCTACCAGGAGTGAAAACCAGAGCGAGGTGCATGGATTAATGTAACCCGGGGAACGAAGCTAATCCATACGCTTACATAACAAATTCCTTCCCCTCTGGGATTATACGCTGTGTGCTAATGACTATATTTGAGCATTGGAAACATGTACTGTTTACAAATTTACAGCATAAACTAAATGGCATGTGGTATGACGCTTAAACGCTGTAACTAGATGAATTTTTGGCAAGCGGGAGTGATCCAACTGCAGATATACAGCAATTTGTGAGCATGCACAGGGCGTATGATAGTTTGTCGCATAGCTGTCCTCAGCTGCTGAACGCGTGCCTCTCGTACATGCGATGCTGCCGAGAAGGGCGTGTTTTCCAGTCCTCAGCTGCTAGGTGCTGCCTCCTGCGAGCTATGTCTTGTGGTTCATAGCTGTTTCTGAAGCCAGGGGCTGTGTCCCGCAAGCTCTGCTGTCATAGAGGCCTATGTGTACCGGGGACACACACAATCCGCACATGTGCTAACGTAGTTTTCAATTGGGGCTGGCATAATTATAACATTACGGTATGTGTGGCATCACCGGATAGAAATAAATAAAAATCGGCCCTTTGCAACGACTAGGTTGGCTCGCTCCCGCTCGCCAACTAAAAGATACACTTTCTGTACCACACTCATATTTTGCCGTGTCCACTTTTCTTAGTAACACAGTTTGACAAGCTTACAGTGTCAGCCACTTGATTGTCATCACCTGTGATTTCTCCTCCAGTGGTCTTATGCGGTGACAGTGTGGGAAATCTTAACTTTTGCAGAGATGCCATATTCAGAAGTGAACAACAACCGTTCTATACTTTCTACCATCAAGATGGGTGCTCGTCTTCCAAGACCAAACACTTGTTCAGAAGAATTGTAAGTAGGTTTTGGGTTTGCTAAGGGTTTTGTTACATACGTACACATTATTATTCACTAGGTATACGCTCCTTTGTACTTGCTGGAATGAAAGAGGAGAAGAACGACCAAGTTTCAAGACAATTATCGGCCATCTCAAACATCTTCTGAGCCAGCTCTCCAATGAACATCCTGATGGTGTTGAAGAACTGTATGTTAGAAAAAGGAGCTCTTCAAATGGCATTGGAAAATCGGTCAGTCGTGATAGACTATCTCATGGCGGTGAGTCTCCAAGATCACGAAATCATATCCCAGTTCGTGAAGCTTCAATGGGGAGCTTGAAAAGGGTGAGCATGGCCAGTATGATGTCTCGAGGCAGCACAGCTGAGAAACTAAGCGTCACATTCAGTATCCTTAGTGGCGCAGATGCATCTGGAAGTGATTCAGAGGATGAGGCAAACCAAAGTCGTGGCTTGGAACTACAAAACTTTACAGACCAACATGAAATGCAAAGCATTCTACGACAAGTGAGTACCTCCTTTATTGATTCTCCTGTCGAGAAGGTCCGACCCCGAGTAGAGGTAAAAGATGAAGCAAACTCTTCTGTCCACACCACCACATTATCAGACATCAGCTCACGTACTCTAGTGCCACCACCCCTCGAAAGTCCTGTCAGATCACCCAAACTGTGTATAGCAGGTGACGAAACAAGTCTAGCGTCTTCGAACCCTGTCAGCCTAACACCTCCACCAAGCCAAACCGTTGATTCACAGAGTAAAACGTCGACAACTGACTTAGAGTCAGTGAGCACAGCACCCTACACCTCGTCTCCTCAGCACGGCACGGCATTTCTCTACCCATCTACGTTCGGCAGTGGATTTGGTGTGATGAGCAACTCGGAGAGGGGAGACCAATCACCACTTGTCGTTGGTCGCAGAGCTCACAGTCACACCTCCCACTCACCTGCATTATTACCATCTCAACCATCGGCGAAATCAACAGACTCGGGCATACGCAGTGATGAAGACAGTGAAGCCACCCATTCCCCCAATACATCCATGCAGTACGCCCCGAAAGCGACTAACAGCCGTAACGCAGGTGCTACAAGTGATGGCGGACTGGCAGACTTCTCCAGTTCTCTCTTTGCTGCTTTTGATACTTGGGGCAATACCTAAAGCTAATATACAGATTTTTTTTTAAATTGTGTTCATGCAGTGTGCCATTTCGCTCAGCTGCTCATACCCGCGCATGCGCATGATGGATGCCATGCGTGTGTACGTGTGTGCGCACGTACATACGTCCACGTACATACGTATATAATAGCGCGTCACTCTAATTAGCTAGTCTCGTGCCCAGACCCCGCGCCTCATGATCGAGGATATTGAGCTGACTCGACAGTCTTACTTTTGAGACACCGAATCAGATTGCAGTATTTGCCACGACCGTGAAATATCACATGATGTTATGTAATAGATCGTAACGCAGCTCCGTGGATTCCGCGTGTCCACGAACGAAAACGGGCTTTCCTGCGCATGCATTCGATAATGATGAGTCAGCACAACTCCAGAATACTCCCTTGAGCGGCGCGGGGTCTGGGCACGAGACTACTTTAGCTAGCTAGCTATTATATATAGCACGCCATTTTTGGGCGGGGCCAGAATTGTGTGAGTGGGACGATGGCCACTCGTATGGACACTTTGGAGCACCTCCAGCAAGAGATTACGTGTCCTCTATGTCTAGATACGTTTGAAGACCCTCGGGTTCTTTCTTGTCAGCATACATATTGCAAGAAGTGTTTGGAAGCGCTTTGTATCGAGAGGAAGGGGCACTTCTCCGACCATAACCTGTCCCGAATGTCGGAAGTTCACTGACGTACCAGTAGAAGGTGTGTTGGAACTTCCAACCGCCTTCAAGCTCAACCGCTTAATAGAACTCGTGGGTCAGATGAGGCACGAAGAACGAGGAAGGGCCAGGGTGGGACACGATGGCCCAGTCACCCCACCCCCTCCTCGGGCTCACACAGGCCAGTCCAGCTGCACCCAGCATCCCGGTCAAATGTTGGACGTGTACTGTCGAAACTGTGAGGAGGTTGTGTGCCGTGACTGCATTTTATTTGGTAAGCATTCCAGCCACCCTTACGACAAGCTGGAAGTGGCTGCAGACGATCACCGCGACATGGTTAGACAGAAACTGAATGCACTTCTGAAAAAGCACCCATTGGTACAAAAGTGTGCAGCTGATGCCAAGATGACCCGCTGCAATGCGGAAGAGAGCTGTGAGGTTGTGTGTGACAAAATTGCAGAGTCGTATGATAGGGTTCTGAGCATGGTCGAACAAAAGAAAAAGCGCAATATCCAACAGTTCCGTGATGCCGCAAATGCAAAAGTGATGGAACTTGATGAAAACGAAGCAAGCCTCACTGCGATTTCATCTGAAATGAGTGCAGTTAAGAGCATGGTTGAACGCGGGCTACAGAATTTGGGGGTACGCAGAGTTCATCGCTAGGCAAAGGGGGATGGTCTATAAGATGGAGCAGATGAACACTCGCATTAACGATCTCTCACTCGACCAGCAACAGGCTGAATTGATCCCAGAAGTATTAGATCAGCGATTGCTAGTGGAGATAGATGCTTTATGTGATCGCTACCTGTGTCCTTACCGAATGGTCGATCCTTTGAAATGTGCAGTGCATGTGAGCAGCGTTATGAAAGTTGGTGATGTCACTACTATCGCAGTATCCTTGAAAGATTCCGAGGGCGATGGGTGTCGTCTTCAGCAGTGTGTCACTCTAGAGCTTTGCTGCATTAGATTTGGGGAGAAGCTCGCTGGAAAAGTTGTAGAGCAGAGTCCCTCATCCTATGAATCACGTATCTCTCCCAATGTGCGAACTAGGGGACAATGTCAGGTAGTAGCGAAGGTGAATGATATAGCCATTGGAAGTAAGCCAATTGCTGTTTTGGTGGAGTGCCCACCTCACATGTTGGGTGAACCGGTGCACATAATCAACGATATCCAACAGCCAGGGTGTCTGAAGATCTACAATACGCGCATGTTTTGCCGAACAGCAGAAGGAGTCTGTATTTTAGACCTGGAGAACATCAACAAGCCACTGGTTAAGAGTGGAATTTTCCCAAGAGATGGAAAAATCGAGAGCTGGTGGCCATCAGAAATGCTTGTTTATGGTACACACTTGCTTGTTAGTGACCCAAGGAACGGCAAAGTGCACAAGTTCAGGCTTGATGGGCAATATGTAAGGTCTACAGCGACAAACAAGGACAACCTTCAGACTCCCAATGGCCTTAGCATGTCCCCGAGTGGCATGCTCTATGTATGTGACAGTGACAGACACTGCATCCATGTGTTCAACCCTGACCTTACCTTTTCTTCTACTTTTGGATCCCATGGAAGCATACCAGGGCGCTTCTGTTGGCCTGACAACATTGCTTTTGATTCCAGCGGAAACTTCTACGTTACGGACTACAGCAATGACCGTATTCAGTGTTTTTCACACAATGGTACTCTCAAATGGTACACAGAAACAACAGCAGGTCTAAAGGAACCGAATGTTATGCACATCGTTGAAAACGAGATATTTGTTACCGACTTAGGTGGTGTGTCAGTGTTCACCACAGAAGGTCACTTCATAACTCGCTTTGCTAGCATGTGTGCCGCTTCAGAATCAAAAAGTAGTGCTGACGGGATTGCTATAGATTCGGATGGGTTTGTATTCGTTTCTGATACTCCTAGAAATAGGATCGTTATTTTCTAAGCATTGTGTGCTACGTCATCATGTATAATTATTATTGTGCTGTTTTTTGAAAACTAATGATTACCAGCTGCACGTGTCTAGAGTTTCCATAATTAACAATACTTGCCATTTATACATGATTATTTTGAGATACCTATGGCATCCAAAGGGTCATAAACCAATGCCCTAAAGTTCTGAATGATCATAAACTTCAACAGTGGCAGTATTGCAAAAATCATTTCCATCAAGTTCATGGCCTGAGTGTTTCCATTGCTGCTGTTGGGTCGTTTAGCTTCTATTCTGTCTTGTTCGGGAAAATTTTGTTCATTACATACATTGGGTGACTGCTTATCTCCTGCCTGCAGTTCCATCTGGTTCACAAGATTACTCAGCATTGAAAACAGTCTGCGAGGGCTATGATCAACGATGCAGTCGTGGTGCAAAATTATTCCGGTCATATCTTCTCGGGCCTTCCAGCTTGCCCTGACCTGTCTATCACGTATGCAGCGTACGCCACAACACCGCAGTCCAAGAAAACTCACTCCACACCACCTACGTGGCACAGAGGAAAAATTATGACAACAGAGCCGACATAGAATTACCTGGCAGTGGCTCCACTTCCCTTGCCTTCTTCAATATGCAATATTCGGCCAGGAATAAACATAAGTGGGCCTAGGCGAGTGTCTTCCTGCAAGAATTCAGTCGCAACTTTCTCAACCCGGTCTGGATCATTCTCCCTCTTTGGTTCATCCTCTTCGATATGGACCTCAAGTACAGGTGGTCCCAGCTGCTCCTGTATATACCATACAGCACTGTTCACTAGCTTTGGGTATCGCTACACGAGTGTAACCTAGTAACAGAAAATATTCGTGCCATAGCAAGCGTTATTGAGGTGTCCTGGGTGGGGTTGCATCACCATTACCTTGCAACCTTTGTTGGTTACAAGCATTTGATATGGTGCCATGTAAAATTAATGATAACGACCGTTTTGAAGCAGTAACACCAAAAAAACATTAAAGCAATACATAATACAAATTCCATTGGTATTCACCTTGCAACTAAAATATGTGGCAACTCAAATATACAACAGAAAAATAAAGAGAGTTGGCATAGCCTCGCTCCCCAGGTTCTTTGACCTTTCGACCTCCACACGTTTTTGAAGTGTGAGAGAATAGGCGTAAGTTAACAGGGTGGGTTTTACGCCTACTGTAGTTTCTTGATGGCAACAGTAGGTCAGGAGTAAAGCTTAAGGCAATTGTTTACATGGGGCACAAAACTTGACGAGCGACCACCTGGACAGAATCAAGCATGGATTGATGATGACGTACCGGTAAAAAAGGCTGCTAACAAATATACAAATGTGTATAGGAATGTATTAGTCATGAGAATATTTGCTAAGCAAGATATAATTATTGGCAGAATCAGGATGTACTCTGATCTCAGTTTAGGTCTTTCTAGGCTGACCTCGGCGGTGTTTAGGTGATTTTCCAGCTCTATATGTACGGTCAAACAGTGGAGAACCTGGGGATGAGGCTACATGGTCATGGAACACACTTCCAGTAGTGCACTTTCACTTTTAGCCACTAGCCACACCGATAATGATGTGAGCATATGTCAACAGCTTTTATATAGCAACAGGTTGAGCAGACTACAGGCTAACATCTAAATGTACACACATCATACCTGAACACTTTCTTCTCTGTCAAATTTCACTTCACTTCTCCTCCTCTCCTGAAACTCCACATCTTCATCCTCCACAAATTCTCTCTCCGGCTCTCCATAACTTGCTCCTTCTGTACGGCTACCCAATGCCTCCTTCTTCCTCCTTTTCTCTGACACCTGATCCCACGTGCCCCTCCGAATAACTGGAAGTGACTCTTGCAGCTCAAGAAAATCTGGAGTGGCCGCTCCTGATCGCTCGTCAATCAACCCCACTGGGTAAACACTGCCACCAAAAATAGGTGGGTCCCAGTGTGGAACATTGCCACAACACAAAATCTCTTGCTGGAATTGAAAGAAAAATAGGAGAACAAATTAGGTATATAATTATTGTGCTCTAAAAATATTTCACCTCCATAAGAAGTGCATGTTAGTATTTGTAACAACCAGCATACAAGTGGATGATATGGTATGCCTCCTTTCCCGGAGCTTTTGACAGACACGTGTTCTTTTGCTCCTCCCTATTCCACCTTTAGCGAATGGGAAGCCTGTCTACAATCACACCATGAAGCAAAGAAATACCTCAAAAGTTTCCAGCTATACATTAGTTACTAACAGGAGGTTACATGTCTGCGGACTGATATCTCGGTACAGTACGATGCCACATCCTTTTCGGTACTAACTATCAAATGTTAGAACTAAGTGATGATATTACATGTGCATTTTGATTACTCGCCTTCTTCAAATCTGTTTCTTCAAGAGCCTTTTTGACTAGCAGCTTCAGGTATGTCAGAGCTCGCCAAGAAATTCGTGGCACAAGGTCATAGGCCCCCACGACAGATGTAATGACACCCAGTTCTTCTGCCCTCTCAGCAAGCTTATAGCTACACAATTTGAACAAATTGCATGTTAAATAGCATACTTGTCAGCACATCAACAAGCCATCTTGAAGGCACAAGAAGTCACAACGAAGCCACAGTCCTAGCTATAAACCTTCATTATAAACGTAGTATAATAAACCTCCATGATAGCTAGTGCACAACACTGCTATCCCTGCTAGCACCCTGGGCTCATTATTCACAGAAATGGTGTTCATCCAAAAACGAAAAGCACTAAAGTGCAAACCCTCGGCGAACTGCGCATGCACGATACTGCTAATTAATGGGCTCTGCTATTTGTATGCGTTTACTCATGGTCTCCCGCTAGTAGCTCCTGACACTGGCTAGCTACAGTAGTAGATAGCATGTGGGAGTCGATACATGCCATTCGTTCTGACTTCCTAAGCCCCCAAGGTACACAGAGCGAGCGGATCAGGTCGCGCTAAGCCCAGTGCGATTATGCATATTGGCTTTTTCGCTTGTTTTCACGGCATATCCCTCGAACACAGTCGTTTTAGGAAAATATGCCCATTTTATTTTTCAGGCTCGTGTAGTTCTGAAGCCGCTGGAATTGCTAACAGGCTGCCTCGTAGCCTGTAGTGCCAGAATAAGCGTCGGCACACACACAGACAGACAAACCAACTACTGTAACCCTCACTGTGCATGCGCGCCGAGGGTTAATAAAGGGAACACAAAATTTTGTGAATAAATTCACGAAAAGTATCCATCGTGGATAAATTTCCAAGCATGTTTGTTCACAGAAGGTTAAATTTGCGAGTCTTCTTTACACAATAATATTATGTGACGGTGTAGTCAAGACCAGGCATGTGTTGCTATGAATAGTAATGTAGAGGCATCTATCTCTACAGGCAGCTTTGGAAAGGTTTTTGCTGCAACTCCATGGTTCTCTGTCAGGTTAAATGGACTGATTGCCCTATACTGACAGTACAGGCCCATAATACACAGAGTCAAAAAGCCATATGCCTGGTTATGGCGTACGCAGTCACCCTTACTTACCTGCAGACTGCCCCTGGTATAGAGTACAAGTATGCATGTAGTCCATCGGCCCAGTGAGGATGCTTCTGCTTGATAAGTAGAGTTAGCACTGCACCTACACCAGCACCTAGTGAGTGTCCAGCCACCACCACACGATAGTGTTCCTAATAATGTACAGTGTGAACGTGTTGTGAAGCATGGGAATGACAAATACAGGAGGACACATTTAAAAATACTCTCAGCAAAATACTTAGCTAAACCCTTAGCAGTCAGAACAATGTGTGACTGTCAATGTTAAGTCTTTTAGGATGGTTTGCACGTGCATGCTTCACTATTCATATGCACTGCACTGAAGGTTTTGTATGTCAGAGTGTTTCATTAGAAGTGTTAGGTTCTACAAATAAATCAGGTAGACACAAACATTGTAACTGTTGGACACAATGACATAAATATTTATTCAGTACTGTCACAGGGTGCACATGGTGAAATGTATACCTTTTCAACTAAGTCCTTGAATAACTTGCTTTTCCGAAGAATGTTAAGGATGACTTTAGCCGACTTATAAAACCCCTGCAAATGAGAAAGATTTTGGAAATTTAGTCTCATGCCCAGTCTCCACCTATTAATGTGGGAAAGGGGTCTTGTAACTGCTGACACATTTCTTATATCGATCGGATCACAGAACAGCCAAGCAACATCACGTGCAACTGTAGTCCGCGGACTGTGGTAGGTGGGACCTTGTATGAACCACATGCAGTTTGATGACTTTAGGACCAGGTTCAAAAGTTACAAGAAAACTTTTCTCCCCTTGTGCGGGTGGAGTGGGTGGGTAAGACAGAGAATTCGATTATTAATGGCAGCAGGAACTGACAACTACAGATCAATGACCTACAGCAACCTCAGTGGGCATGCTAACAGTTATTTGCAAGTACACGTACTAAGTAAAGATGTTGATTGCAGAACATACAGTGTGGAAATAGGCATCCTGAACTCCCAGGAATGTGAGCTTTGTCTTCACCAGCAGTTCGAACCACTTTTCGACTAGGGACTCCTGGCATTTAGTGGCATCCCTCATTGACGCTGTGACATTAGTCATAACATCCTGTACAGACATAATATTATGGACTGAAAAGTAAAGTAAGACCTAATACATATGTAACTTATATTTCCCAACCAGTGATATAAATGAATTCCTTTGTTCCGCACAGAGTAATTTGGAGTTTGCTTTTTGTGTGTTATTGCAGACCTGCCAGCTGAACTGACTGCCCTGGTAACTCAGGTGGTAGAGCACTCTGCCTGAACTGCAGAGTGTCGTGGGTTGGAGTCCTACCCAGGGCAGCTCTATTTTCCTCGAAAGAGTGTTGTCCTGGGTGTCTTTGATTTGTTTGCTTTGCGCCGGTTTTGGTTTCATACCTCACTTATCATTCATAAATTTCCAGGTAGACCCTGAAGTTTCAACAGGGCAAACTTATCAGCAGGGCTACAGGTAACCATGGGTAATAATAATAATAATACTCAGGTGGCTGCCATAGCACTAGGGCCATAGACCACGCACCCAGAGCAATGGGCGGAACCGTTAACAAACGAACATACACCATATGAACATGAGGTGTCTGTCTCACCTCCCAGACACCTTAACTCACCCCTTCCACCAGCGACACCCTGCAGCTCCCCAGACACAATCTGAGACTGGGTCTGTTGTACGCGGGGATTATCGCCGAATAACCTAACCTTCCTTCGCTCCCAAACATCCAAAATAAAACAAGGCCAAGCAAAGAACCAAATTTATCCTCCCACAGCTCACTACCCAATATAAAGGATGCTTTCCTGAAACTATCAAGCGATTGGAAATGCTCAAACCCATCATCCCCAAGCTTCCCCTGCAGGGCAATAAGAAATTGCTCCTAAGACTACTATATGCTGGACACTCCCAAAACACATGACTCACACTTTCACACTCATCATTACACAACAGGCACTCCTTCACCCCCTCCCTCCCCCTATGCCTACCAAGTTCCTCATTTACAACCCATGTGTGCCTGACCTGAACTTAAACATTAATCTAGACCCAGCATCACTTTTCCCATGCAAGTACTTTTTGAACTCTACCACCTTGTTAAATGTCTTATACAATAACAGCTTTATTTTGCTATTTAGCCCCTCTTCAAACTTCCTAATCTCCCTCTCATTAATACTGTCCCCTACTATAGACAGAAAGCCCTTCAAGGAGCAATCCCCATGTTGAATATCATGTAACCACTCTGCCTTGTCAAGACCTAATGACGAAAAGAGATCATCAATGACCTTACTCCAACACTTCCTCTGCCTGTCTCTCCGTGGCTTAAAATTCCATTCCTGGTTAAAAAACGTTCTGCACATCTAGAAAGAATGCATATGTCTCCTTCCCCTCCTTTAGTCAACCCTGCACGAGTTCATTCAGCGTATAAATATTACAAGTAAATTAAAAATCCAGCGAATTTAAAAAAAGAGTGCATATAGGGATCGTATAAAAAGAAAGGGAGACAAGATAGGGATGGCATTTGTGGAAGCACAGAGATGCTAGCGAGGAGTTAGGACTCCCACAGGTCATTACAACAGCCCTACATCGTCGTACGGTGGGAGTACCTAGCATCATAGATGTATGGGGCTATGATAGGGAAAGTTTTCAATCTTCTTCGTAGGGTGGGAGTGGGAGTGATGAGAGAGTCTGTAGAATATTGCTATAGGTAATGAAGTACTTACTAATTACCTTTGATAGATTTGTCATGCTACATTTCCATGGAGTGCCATTTAGGTGGAAGTGTAATCAGCTGACCATAACATTGGATATACATGTATATACATGGAACATGGAAAAATTGTGTAACACAAGAAAACAAAATTCAAGTATGCAAGGTTGGCTGATATAATATTCACGAGGAAGTAGTAAAGCACCGATACGACGATATAGGGTAATTAGTAAGTACTTCATTACCTATAGCAATATTACTATAAAAATTTTAATAGAGAAAAAATACCTGTTGTCGTCATGGAAATGATATGCATACAATGTTTCATCTCCATGTGTGCTGCCGTTAGCAAGTTTGAGGAGTGAAGAAGTAATTTTAAGGAAAAGTGGCTGAGGCTATTTGTTGTTGTGGTCATCATAGAAACGATGTAATACACATGCGCACCAAGTTTCACCTCCATGTGTCTACAGTTAGCGAGTTTGAGGAGTGAAGAAGTAATTTTTAAGAAAAGTGCCTGAGGCTATTTGTTGTTGTGGTCGTCATGGAAACGATATAATACACATGCACGCCAAGTTTCACCTCCATGCGTGCTACAATTAGCAAGTTTGAGGAGTGAAGAAGTAATTTAAAGAAAATTGCCTGAGGCCTTTTCGAACAATATGCGGTCGTCATGGAAACATGTAATCGTCATGGAAATGATATAATAGGCATATGCACCAAGTTTCATCTCTATGCGTGCTACAGTTAGCAAGTTTGTGGAGTGAAGTAGTATTATTTAAAGAAAAGTGTCTGAGGCTATTAGTTGTTATTTACAAACATGTGCTGTTGTGATTTTGATGTTGGCTATTGAATTCATTATGTATACAAACTTTCTTTAACATAGCTCTTACCAATTGTGAGTTACACCGACACATGTAGTATGCCCATTAAAATGTATTGCCAATTATAATGTATTGCCTGGGGCACTTTTGTTGTTGTTTACAGTAAACAACATTGTTTACAAACAAAAAGGTATGACGTTGCACATGTGGTTATCGATATGTACATTCCTGCAAAATTTCATGGCTTTATCTCTTTCGGTTTTTGAGTTATGCTGGTTGAAGAAGAAGAAGAAGAAGAAGAAGATGAACAAAACTCCCTATCATAGCCCCATACATCTATAATGCTTGGTACCATGTCAATCCCTATATACTAAGTACTACCGTACTTAGTGATCAACACAACCCCTTCCAACCCTAAAACCAGCCTGGCCCTCGTCCAGATGCTTCAACAACCTATTGTTCAATACCTTACAAAAGACCTTCCCAACCACACTAAGCAGAGTGATGCCCCTATAATTCCCAGGATCCTCCTTATCTCCCTTCTTAAACAGGTTGACTATGACGCCCTCCCTCCACTGTGGTGGCACAAACTCCTCGCCAAATTACTGTAAACAATTGTTTAAGTAACTCTACCATCCCTGACCCACCATACTTTAGAAGCTCCCCCACAAGCCCATCACTACCACCAGTCTTGTTATTCTTCAACTTTCTAACACACAATGCAATCTCCTTCAAATCCAACACATTTCCCACACAATCTGTTGGAAACTCACACACTTTCTTATCCACTTCCTCTTTCCAACTATCACCAAAGGCTGTATCAACACTACAAGTGCCCAACTGCTGATAATGCATCTTTAACACCTCTAGCAGCCCTTTGTACTAGTCACTGACACCCCAGAACTATTCCTCAAAGCTGTAATCCCCCTCCTCTTACCCTTTGTACTTCTACCAACAAAGGCCCAAAATTCTTTCCTATTACCTTCAAAATCTGAATTTGTTCTTTCCACTACCTCATTCCAAATCTCAAGCTTCTTCTGAACAACTAAATTCATTGACTTCAAATGAAAGTTCATTGTTGTGCTAACAGATGCACTATTCTTTGGGTAGAGAGAAGTTGGTCCCCCTATACAAAAGACAATAGTCTGTTACTCATTTGATGTAGCCTCGTGTGGAGGCTTTCCCTCCATGCTATCTCAATGTTATCTTGCATGATTGTTGTACATGTTCATGTAGGACAAATGGGGAAGGCCTGGTCTGAAATATGGTGTAGCGAGTGAAACGAGTGATGTCAGTGACAGGCCCAGGGATGGTCCCTAGTGTGGTGGCCCACCTTCATACAGCTGCACCAGAGAGCGACACACAATCTCTCCTGGCTTGCAGTATGAGATCCAATTCAGGATGGAACCAGCCGCATCAGCGGACCACACGTGTACCAGAAGCGACCAGTATATCTTGTGCCCACCAGGTTCTCATAGCTATACGTCCTACCCACCTCACAGAGTTCGAGACCTTGTCAACATCAAAAGTTGCCCAGCGGAGCAAGGGAACGAGAAGGGAGGCCAGAGACCATGGAGCAAAAACTTAGGGGATCTGCATACTCCACAACACAGCCACAGGGACTGGGGTTGGTAAGCTACTGCATCGAACATTACTGGTTTCGTTGGAGATGAGGAGTTAAGGGTACGGAAAGAGATCACATTGTCTAAAATTTCATGGATTCATCTGAAATTTGCACACACTTTACAGGCGAAAATCTAAGAGAGAAGAGAGCTTCAGAAGGCACGGAAGGTACGTATTACAACAAACAGAGTGCAAATCCGCCATAAAAAATATGCGCACTACATGCAATAATATTTGCCATTTAGTTGGAGGCACTGAGAATAGCAAAACAGGACCTAAAGAGCCAAAGGGGAATGAGAGACAAATGAAGGGGGCCCAAAGGGGGGATGAGAGGCAAATGAAGGAGAGCCTTCGAAATGAGTATATATAAACACGGCATGAAGGGCCCCACACATCATTGCTGCAGTATCTGTATATACCCATACACCACCTGTGGGAGTTTGAGAGCAGGATAAGTAGATGGAGGGAGTGTATCAACTCCCGCATGCTATCCGATAGTGTAGCTAGCCCGTGTCAGACTCCGTGAGCTACTAGTGGGAGACCACAAGTAAGTCAAAAGGTGCATAGCCAAGCCAATTAATTAGCGGTACAGTGCATGTATATGGATCCGACGTTTGCAGTCCGCTGAGGGCTTGCACTCAGTGCTTTTCATTAGTACAACAATAGGAAGTTGGGCTTCAGTAATTGGGTATGTGGGGAGGGGAGGGTGTGGCTCAAGGAAGCCAACTCAAATACCTATCCAAAATGCTTTTGGAATGACAGTATCTCAACCAAACAAGTGGCAAGAAGATTGGGTAATTATAGGGGCAGCAAAGGGAGCAAAGGGATTTATACATCACGTAAGGTTAATGCTTAATGAGTAGGCATTCATGAGAGGATACATCATAAGATGCATAAACAAGTGAGGTATACCTTGACGCTAAGTGTGCCCCTGATAGTTATAACCAGCTCTTTCCTTGTCTCCCCAGTCACCTTGTCACGGCGGGCAGTACGACACACAAAGAATGGTGGGCAGTGTATCTGTAGCCACAGATGCTATTTATGAAATTACTGCATAAACAAAATACATACATGCACATAAAAGATACTAGTAATTCTCTTTCCCTCCTGACCTAATTTTTCTGCAGTCCATCCACCAGGTCAACTATTATTACTACTACGTGAATGCAAGGCATTTTCTGTGAGTGGGAGCAAGGAACTGTAGAAATATTCCAAGCACTTAGTTTTGTATACCATGCACATTATGACGATGTACCAACATACATGTACATACAGTAGGTACACATATATAGAAACATCACACTGTTTGGTCTCCTAGATCAGCTTGCTTCTACTCGCCGATCAAGGGCATCTTACATCTACATATGCCTATTTCTGCCTAGTATAGTTTACTTGCCACCCAAAAGCTGTTGCTACAACAGTTTGCATGCTTTCAAAAGGAGCTGGCTTTGAACACACCAGAATGAATCCCACCAATAATGTGCTTGACATTTAAAGAAAACTGAAGGACACACACAGTCACCCCACATTATTTTAGTAGTTACATCATTGGCAGTCTTTCCTAAGACAACATCTTCAACATTGATCCCAGCAATGCTTGCCACCTCAGCAGATTTAAGAAACAGTCCACCCCGTCCGTCAACTTCATCCACCTGTTGCTCTCTGACACAACATGAGCACCTGACAATTGAGTGCATGAGGAACACCAGGAGGAATGAGCTAGAATTCACATTGTGTACAAGCAGTCAATTAATGTCAGGATAATATACTAGAATGAATGCCACATATTTTTGGCGAGCGACTGCAAGCACTTCAATATTTCATGTGTGTTTTGCGCGTATTTCGAATCACGTAGGACATTGCGATATGTTTAGTGCCAGACCGACCGATAGTTACATATAAACAAGAAAATTCCCGCATTGGAACGACTAGGTATGTAGGCTCACACTTTACTCGGCAATTATGCAGAAACTCTACTACCATGAAAGTTGTAGTTCAGGTGGAAAAGCCATAAACAAGAACGACGTATTATAATTATTGGCTACCTAGTCGTTTCAATGCAGGAAGTTTCTATATAATTATGTTTATAACTATCGGTCGGGCACTGTACATACCGTAATATTGTACATGATTCTAAATACGCGCAAAACACGTGTGAGATATTGAACTGCTCGCGCTTGCTCGCCAAACAATGCGTTACATTCCTCTAGTATATATACCTTGCACCTCTGCAGAGTGTGCATGTTCCAGAGAGTGGCTCAAGAAAGACCTTTACAGACCAACCATATGCTGCCATAGCAAACCAAAAGTAGTAGAGTAGAGTTTCAGGTAACTATAGGAAAGGAGGCAAACTTGGAGTAAGTCTCACTAAACATGACCGCATCAAATCATAAGTGAAGCATGAGAAGTGGCAAACAACCTGACCTGTAGATAAATAATGAACTTACAGGCTAAAGTGTGGACGGTGGGTGATGTAAAACAGTGTGTGTTAGCCTAGCACCTTGTTTGCTCCTTCAAGAGGCTGTGGTCGTCTGATCTCATGAAACCTGTCAATCACTCCTTTCTTTTTCAGAAACCGAAGTGTTGCCTGCATAATAATTGAGCATGGAAATTTGTGTACATGTAGTTACCACATCATTGCCAATCTTCAGCACTCTACTGTAAAAATTAAACATCGAGATACAAAAAAAGTAATGACTGCGTTTACAGTTTTACACACACCTAAACATCTATCCAATAATTTGTCTAAGTGCACAGAGAACACACAGAACACTATTGCTTACCTATGTGATGCGCCAAAGTTGCATGCAAATTACTCATGGGCATGCGGAGCACATCGATTAAAAATCATCTATGAGCTAGTGCAAGTTCAGCTTTTGATACTCCCATTCATCATCCTACTACTGTACGCCAGCTCACGCATGTATAGCTAGTCCTATGTTGTGAATGTCTGAGCTTTTGTTTGTGTTAATGTGCTGTTTTTAATGTGCATACGTAGGTATTAAGCCCTTTAGAAGTCCTCCCCCGCTCTCTCTCTCTCCCTCATTTTCTTCTTTCTAAATGTGAAAGCGTAAGCTGTTTAGTTCTACATACAACTACACGTTTGACCCGGAAAAATAACATACTCTTACAAAACTGAGTGTAACAACAGACCTTTAGCAGTTCTTCAGTAACATTGCTACTTTCCCCTTGCCTCAGCAGCTGGCTGTGGTATTTCTGAACCAGTATCCATCCAGACAGTCGATCTAGTGCAGTGTAGTGGATCTCCATATCACGGAACAGCACCTCCATAGCATGGGACAAATCCAGTAGGGCAACATTCTTAGAGTTGTTGAGGCCATCACGACGGCATGTGCAGAGCTTTTCACGCATGATGCTACACAAATGTGACGCACTAATGCTACGACTGGTTGGTAAAACTCTGATGTTTGCTTCAACATTCCAATCGCCAACACTATTGGGTAAAGCTTGGGAAGTAACGTTTTGACGACAATGTAAAGAACACAAAGCGTGACAGAAGAAGCACTTGCAGCGATCTAAGCAGCTGCAGTACACCAACGCAAGTACTGCCAGCTCAAGCCAGTTTAGCCATACAAGAAAAACATAGGCTGCAATCGGCCTCCGAAGTCTCTCACAAGGAGTACCACCGTCAATAACTCTGGTGAGCACAGCTACCACACTGTATACAGCCCACACTACCTCCACTACGTAAATTGCAACTCCAGTGAGGAGAAGTTCCCGCACACACGAGTGGTTGGGCTCCCGGATTGTCCCTCTTGCACTAGTCAGTAGGAGGACAAGCTTGTGAACAAATGCCAATAGCTGGAGGCAAGTAAATCCAATTGCAGAAACTGCTAATGCAGCAGATATCCCATCAGTACAGCCAGGTTGGAAAAACAAATTGAGACACACAGCAAACGAGAAAAGAAACCTACCAAAAAACATTACAAACCGAGTAAACAGGTACGTACTTACGTACACTATAGGTCTCTATACCATGTTCCTTTGATAGCAGCAGTTACAACAAGTGGGAAGAAAAGATCGTCTGGAGCAAAACTGCACGTCACACAGAACACTTTCAATCGCCTTTGCTGCCTTTGCCTTCCGGCTGCAGCAGCAACCATGATTGGGATTCGAGGGATGCTGTGCGCGCATGCGTCACGCGGTCCCATGTGTGCGCATGAGCGGCAAGGGATTTGCCTAAAAATCCCAAACATCTTTCTACCAGATCATCTTCGCACAATACACTGTCAATTAATTGAACAGTATAAATCATAAACTGTAAACATTTTACATTAGGACTATAGTAGGGTATTTATAACAGTGATGTGTCAAATCAATAATTTCTCAAAAATCCGGACAGAAAATAGTATTTATGTCAGTAAAGCAGCTGTTAATTTTCCTGAGAGATTCCCTGTCGTTGTCTACGAAGGAGGTGTAACCTTCCCTGGCCCCGCTATTTGAAAACCCAATGCTATGAGAATTGCAATATTACAGTCATCGCTGCAACACATTTTTGCTAGTTGCTGGAACACAATAGAGCAGCAACTCACTACAAGTAAACTTGATACCAATGCACCCAAGGCGCATCACTCACCTTAAGCCCACATTATGTTTAACCTCTCCCTTGCAACCGGAAAGTGAGTATAAATTGTCACTACTCCAAAGTCAGGGGATTACACCCTATTCTCACTATTGAGCATTGTTAGAAAATTGTGTATGCTATTCTCTGAGACCATCTGCTCGAGAATGTACCTATAATCTTCAACGGGGATTTTCAAGAGGGGAGATCAGCCACTATGATGGGTATTCTCTTCTTGACAAGGAACGTATTCTCTTCTTGACAAGGAACATGATTTTCTCCATGTATTATTGATTTTAGAAAAACTTTCGACAGTGTTCAACAAAAACATTGCGTTAAAAGTTGGCTCGGATTGCTTCCCACCAAGCATTCACAACACATCTACTGCATTGTGTGTAGCACCCGTATTACAGTCAATGTTTTAGATATTGCTTATCCTTACCTCCATGTAATGTGTTCCCTTTCATCTAGTTGTCTCTTAAATCATTTCACCACTATCTGTTGTCAAATTTTGCTGTACACCAATGAGTGGTGTCCAAAGTTACTTTTATCCTTTTTTTTTGTCGCCCATTGGTTTGTTTGGAGCGACCCATGATATAGCCGAAAATGAAACCGAAACCAACTACATTTTAATTGATTTGACTGTAAGTTTCTGTGAGTTTCTATGGATTGGTATGTCATTTTTCTATTCCGCTGCCCGTTTATCCATCACGCCCAAATTTGGTGCTTCCCCTATATAAGGGTGTAAAATGATTTCTTCACATTTTGTGCCGGACACATACAACGGGCAAAGTGTATTGACAATGCGAACTATCCAATTAATTTCATGTAATCTTCGTTTTTTATTAGTCTGTCATTCGGATTAATACGTTTAGGTTATTTTAGAATAATGTTCGAGGATTTGAGACTCAGTCCAGGTCGGAGAGTGTTTATGAGCACGCCTGTCAACATGCAAGACTAGTTATGTGCCCAACATGTTGTCTCCATTATCCTATCTTCCTTGGAACCAATCGTCTCTTCCTTTTCTTTCTCCCCCTTCCCTTACCCCCCGAATAAATTCTTCAACTTAAGTCCCAAATTTCACCGGATGCTAAGTATTTCGTGTTCTAGCCAACAGAATTGCAAAACATATTTGGATTATCAGCAAGAAGGCTAGGCATAATTTATTATTAGGAAACCACGATATATTTTTGCATTTCTACTGACAACTGGATCAAGACAAAATGTCGTCCTGTATATTACAACTCACACGCACGAACGTTTTGTGAGGATTCAGCAGAGATTGTGTTTCCGATCCCAGTTGGGTCTGTTTGGCGGTCTCCCTGGTGTTATCGTCAGTTGAGCGAGCGGAGGCTTCTAGGAGTCGGTAAGGCTAGCAATACAGACGGTCCACCTCACCGTAAGCGTGATGGTTCTCTGCGGTGCACACTTCAAGCTTGGTTTGTCACTTGTGCACCACTCACGGCACTATCAAGTCAAATATATTGCTTGTAACATAGTTTAGTCCTCGTTGTATAAAAAGCAAGGAGACAACGCCCATTGTTGGATGACATAGTGTATGTGTGCAGCAATACAACCTGGATCCACGGAGCCTCTCAATCAATCTTAAATGCACCATGGCCTTGAAGTGTGTTAAACCTTTTGCGAAGCCTGGGTGTGCTGTGCTATGGCCGTATAGTACTATCTTTTCTACGGAAACGTACGAAAAGTAATGCACCAGGGTTTGGTTTATTCAATCCACCTTCCTTACCAAGTGATAGCTATTATTGATGGTTGATTGGTAGTGTACCCATTACCAGAACTCACACCGCCATCAAGCCTTTCCTATTTCGATTTTCGCTCTACACATTGTAAAAGGATGACGCTTACGTACAATCTTTTGATACATTACTCTGAAGAAAATCTTCCCTTACCAAGTCTCATCCTTTTCCCACGGTTATGGTTTTGTATAAATATTATGTTAGTTCCATATATTATGTAACTAGTTAGTCCCCCCCCCTTCCGTCAAAGTCCTGTTTGTTTATTCCTGGTAAACACCTGCCGCGGCAGCCCTTTCTGCACTAGCTCTGTTGAATTGATTCACTATCTGATCACAGGACTCCTCATTAACATTGCCAATTGAAATTAAATTAATGTGGTGATTCAAATGTGTCGAAACTCTGAGGCGTGATACGGATTGGTTTAAGTACTCAATTCTACTTGGTCTTTTGGTGTGAAAAGTATCGGAATAGTGAGCATTATACTCACCAAATTTAGCAGAGAAACATTCTGTTACTATCTCATCGCATCCCTATAATACCATTACGTACCCTGTGTCCCTTGTGTTACGCATGTGGTCAATGATTCATGTTTCTCGGGCAGCACCCCGAATCCATGCGACTTTTCCATGTGTTACACTAGGTGATGCAGAAAAGATGTGTACATTGTGATTACTAGCATAAACATCTTTTAGTCACTTAGTATTTCGTCTCGACCTTTATCGATACCTTAACACTTTCTTTGAGCAACGACTGACCAAAATATATGCCTTATTGTTTCGGCAATATGCCACATTCCTGCTTTTGGTTCAGTTTCCTTTACCAATCCACTGACATTTTTGGTTACTAGCATGAGATTCCACACTTAGGGCAGAAAAGCGGCCCTATTGGTCCAGGGTTAGTAGTCCTGTGCTTTTGTTTTGCATTCCATTTTGACCGTTTATGATACTTGTTCGTTCAGGTGCGGTTGGTTTCCTTTTATAAACCACCCCTACGCTCTGCTCACCTCACACCTGCTTGCTTATGCTGAGAGTTGTATGTGCCAATTTATTTGAGTTTCGGTACTTTGCCTTTGTTTTGGGGTTGTATTATAGATTTTGGGTACCCCCCCTACTATCCGACTAGTTCCCTCCCTGGACCACGCACTGCTAACGTTTGTTATTTGTAGATTTCGTCATGGTTGATCTTGATTTTGATGTTTACATGGTGTTCATGTTGGTACACACATCTAGTGTGCAGCCCTCTTTTGCGCCTTGTCCTTCTGTGCGGTCGCATTGGACCTTCTTCGATGGTTGGTTTTTCGTTTTGTACATGGCCATTAATTGTGGTTCTGAACAGTTACATTATACAACACTCGTTACTTTTTTTTCGTCCATACCAATTTATTACTTCGATTACACGGTTATTTCAATGACTCACAATTCGAATGCCACCTCTATCGTCTTCTTTCTTGCAATTATTATTACAGTGTACATCAAACTACCCTGATATAGTTGCTCTCCGCAACTTTTTTTCGATTCACAAATGGTTCACCATGTTCCGTTTTTCTTTTTTTTCCTTTTAAACTTGGTTCCCGCCTCTTCGTGTTGTCCTGTTCAGAGTTCTGCCAGTCAACACTATTCAGTTTGTATCCTTTCAGGATCAACAGACCCCAGCAACATACGCCTCACCAGATACCGAATATGGTGTACTTTCAGCTGTTCAATGCAGGTTATTCGACCGTTTTTTTTCATAAGCAATTGTTGTCCCAGGCACTAGCAGCTAATAGAGGTTCTTTATCTTCTATCTTTTGGCTCATGCTGGTCCTACTTAAGGTACCACCATCCATTGCAGTCTTTCTCCCGCAATGTATAAAACAAATACCTGTATAGGGCTACGGAGTCGATTTTTATTGATTGACAAGTTGCAGTATCTTGGTGTTTGCATAAATAAATACTATTTGTGATATAAACATACAATTCTTGCATTTAGGGACGAAAGGATCCTTACCTTTCTTGCTGTTTGAGTAAAGACAAATTATGCCAAATTTATCCACTTATTTTTGGGTGTGATGGTCCTGGTGATCTTCTCCCCTCCCGTGTCTCATAGAGAAAACTAGGGCCTGCATGTTTGATCAGAATTAATGTGAGAAATCAGACACCTTAGTCCAGGATAAATTGATGAAAACCATTAGAGCGCATTATATACTTTGGGGTTCAGGGCTGTTCCAAGGCCGGATCGCCCCGAATTCAACAATTTTTTCACATTGTCATTTACTATTGTTTTGATTTCTTATTGCTCTTAAAATTACTTGATTCGTTAATCATAGTGTTGCTTTAGGTGTTGTTCTGAGCACCTGATTACAATAGTTGTTAAATAGGGTTTGAGCGGATACGTCGGATTTTTTTTTATATTCCAGAGTCTTATTCCACACATCAATAAATGAAGAGGGACCAATTTTGTTTACACTTCACGAAGTTAGTCATATC